AGTTGAAATAAAAAAACCATAGACGACGTGGTTCCGCACAGTCGCACAGCCAAAGGGAAACAGTTCCAGAGTTCCAGGCTCAATGTCAGGAACAACAACTTCACACAGCAAACCAAAAAAAAAAGCAGGCAAAAAAAAAAAAAAAAAAAAAAAGGACCAATGTCGACCCTGCATGATTTGGGACTTCCGTGGGCCCGAAGAGATTGGAGCGCTAAGATTTAATTAGCATGATTGCTTGTAATTAGTCGACTGACAGTAATTAGTGGATTGATTGTAAGGAAAAAAAAAAAAAGGTTGATTGATTGTAATTAGCTGATCGATTGTCATTAGTCTTGATTAATTGTAATCAGTTTCGAATCTTTCGATTGATTATAATTACTCTTGATTGGTTGTAAATAGTTGATCGACTGTCATTAGTTTCGATAGATTGTAATTAGCAGATCGATTAACATAAAAACTTGGGCTGCGATCCCGATCAGGAGCTGGCCACATCCAATTACATGCCATTCCGAATCACGACAAAAATTATCACAAACTGGGCCTGCGAATCCGATCAGGAGAACGATAAACTAACGCATGAAACTTCGCAAAAACGCATACGAATTCGGGGTGGAAGGTAGACTAGGTTCATGCTATGCTGCAACGGAATGACATTGACATGCATCGAGGAGAGATCCGTATATTCTGTGCGCAATAAATATATCATATGCAGTGCTTGATTGATTGATTGATTGATTGATTGATTGATTGATCGGATTGGGTTAATTGATTGATTGATTGATTGATTGATTGATTGATTGATTGATCAATCGATTGATTGATTGGACACTGCCTGTGACGATTGTGGCTATCTTGCTCGTACCGCTATATCCATCAGCAATCAACCAATCGATTGATCAATCAATCAATCAATCAATCAATCAATCAAGTGATCAAGTGATCAATCAATTAACCCAATCCGATCAACCATTCAATTAAACCAATCCAATCAATTAATCAATCTTTCTCATTTAGGACTTCTCGTGTTTTTCCTTCTTACTGCCAGTTCTGAATGCGTTTGATTCGTCCCGTGCCACCTTAGGGCAACTCAGGATGTCCAGGTGCGTCGCACACAAGGACAGTGACGCCAAGTCTGCACTGTTATCCCTCTCTTTCTCTCGTTTTCTCTGGTGTTTTTTTTTTTTCCCTCCTGTTCTCCATAGCTTGCATTCATACTGCTCTTCTAATAGACGGGTAGCTATTCATATAGACGCATACACATAGCTTCGCAGGTACATAGGCGGAAGATGGAGCTGGAGTCAGTGATCGGGTAGCTGTTCATATAGACGTATATATAGCTTCGCAGGTACGCAGGGAGATATGACGACCGTCTTCCCCCCAATAGAATGCATGGTGATTATAGCTGTATTTGGCGCAACTTTCAGTCTACATACAGCGATAATGACCGTTCGATCTACTCGGGGGGAAGGAAAGAGTGAAGGAGAGGGGGGGGGGGAGAAAGAAGGCTCTCCGAAAATGTTTTGGTGCTAGAGTGCGGTTATTTAAAGGAGGGGGAAAGAGTGCAGTGATTTAAGGGGACAAAAAAGAGTGGACTGCTTAGCTTTGAATCAAAAGGTCGGTGTGTGAAGACGAGAACTCTCTCTCTCTCTCTCTCTCTCTCTCTCTCTCTCTCTCTCTCTCTCTCTCTCTCTCTCTCTCTCTCTCTCT